CCACTCCTCAGCAACAGCTCAGCCTTCCAGTGCAACCCTCCCTCCGTCTCTCCTCGCCTGCATCCACTCGCGATAACCGCGCTCACGACAAGCACCGGCCTCGCGCCAACGAGCATCGCCCACCTGTCTTCCTCGCTGTCGACCTCGTCTGCGGCCCCGTAGAACAGATTGACACCGAACGCTGCGCCGCAAAGGCGTCTCCGCTTGTTCGGACATCCCGACATCGCGCCCAACGACGGGTTGTCAAGTCGCAGCGGCTAACAATCCAACAATTTTCCCCCGGCCTGTCCCCACCTCATAAACGTGTCGTCCGCCCACTGTGGACCTCCCAGTCGAGAACACATGCCGATCCAGCAATGATTGACGTAGGACGGCCAGCCGTGACGAACAACAGCGCCGTCGAGCGTGTTGTCGAGTTTTCCAACGAGCGGAGACGAGTCCGCTGTCAGCATTCAGCGCCACTGACTTGCCCGACGTGAACGAGCCGAAACAGCGAGGGAGCAGGTGATGGGTGACGGCGAGCGCGCTGCTGGTGTTGGATGTGAAGTTAGTTGTTGCGTGTAGGCTGTAGAGGAGGGACGGAGGAAGGGTCTTGCTGGATAATGTGAGCTGTCGTCGAGTTCAACGAGACAATCGACGTGCCGCTTGACGTCATGGGTGCGCTTTTCGTGGCGGGTCACTGTAGCGACATTGGATAGTTGCTACAAGTGTCTGACGTGCCGCTCTTTTCGCGCCGTAGCAAGGCTTGCCGCGTTGGGAGCTGACTTGCTGCCTTTTCCGCCAGAAGAACGAGTCAGACGATGATGCAAAGGATGTTCTGCCCGACCCCAGACCCTTGCGCTACCACCGGAGCCACGACCACAAGCGCAAGGAGGTGTGGTTTCATGTGGGTGCCACTGCCGGGCTCTCGTTTCCTTTGTTAGAACGGTATGCCATGTATTGCAATGTTTGGTTTGAGCTGAAGACGAGCCTCATTTTGTAAACGAACAAGAAAGCGACGATCACGCACTGTCCATGTCTCCTAGTCCGCCGTCCAGAGTTTTAGCTTCCATGGGATTGCCAATCGCCCGGTTGCGACTGCCACCAACAGCCCTCAGCGCAAGAGGGGATAACGCGCCGGTTGACAGCCCTCGAGTAGCCCCTACCAAGATCATTGGCCCTGAGGCATTACGGACTGGCCAAAGCCACGGCGGCTCCTGCAAACGAGAAAGGGTGACGGTGTATGGCGGGGGGACGGGTGTGTTGCCGATGAGACGCGCCTGCCGAAACCTCGCGAGTCTTCCTCTACTTCAGGGCTGAAGACACGCCTTAGCTGGTAAACCGGGGACCGAACAACGATGACCCACCCTAGACACACGGCATCCTTTCTTCACAGCTGCTCCGCTTGCTTCCAGTCCCCTCGTGAGTTCATGCCCAGATACGGTACGCACAAAGAAAACACGTCGTGTTGTATTTGTGGGACCAACAGGAGCGCAGGCAAAGGCTCCATCGAAGAGTAGATCAAGATTACTGACGAGTCACAGTCGCGAGTCAGCAAAGTATGAATTATCGAGCAACTATAACGACGCACCCGCCTCGTCTCGCAACTCTCGCCACTCATTATGTGCGGCAAAGGCCCCCCAGCCACCACCCCCACCGAGCGCGGACTCTGAGCTGGAATCCACACTCCCGCGCTTGCGACATGCGGGAATGGACAACCCGACGACAAGCAAATGAATGCTGCGGCAGAAAGCAGCAAAGCTCTTGATGGCAAGTGGAGGGTAAGTGCACCTTTGTCGTGTCTGATTGAATTCCTCGAGCGTGCATATGTCGCTTATTGCCTGTGGTGACGGAGTAAAAGAAGGAGGGATAGGCATCTGTCACGGGGTAACGCCGCGCCGACAGCCGATCAGCACTCCCACGCTCCTCTGCCGCATCCACGACGACCCAACGCGCCTCGCGCATCCAGCGGTACTTGGCGAATGTCTTGGCGGGTTGACACTGGTGTTTGGTGCGCCTAATGGCTTCTTCCTGATATACCTGGCTGATCTGCTCGCAGGCTTGAAAAACGGATGTCTCACTGTTGACTCGCAGTCACGACGTGTCGTTTTCGCCGTTCCGCCCATGACACTGCATCACGTCCAACGTGCCTTCGCTCGCCACTTGTTTCTCCTGACCACTATGGACGAAATACCCGATGAACTTGTCGAACTCATCGCGCATTCTTCCACGCCACACGATACCGCCTGTCTGTGTCTTGCCAACAAGCGTCTCGCCACTATCTGCCGCCGTTCCTTGTACCACACCATCGAAATCGACATCTCAGACGCCGCGCGGACTGTTTCGCTCATGACTACACTCGCTGAGGCGCCTCGATGCGTAAGACTTGTGCGGCGACTTGACATGTAACTCGCCCATCTTCCATTCCACTTCCAGAATACTAATCAGCGAACAGTACTAGTATCAAATCTGTGGATCCAAATGCGCTTGGAAAAAATGACTCCTTTGGCACTGCAGAGACATGTTTGCTCGCCTGGAAGGCGTTGAAGAAAGCAGAGTGGGTGGAGATGTTGTCCGTCACCAGCGCCGAACTTGAAGGAGACATTCAAGTTGCCATTGTCATGGTTGTTTCCTCCATCATGTTCCCTCGTCTCCGATCTTGCACCATTCCGTACTCCCCGCAATTCACTCTGCAATTCCTCGAACGTCACCAGGCTATGGGCAATATACTGTAACATTAATAAACAACAAGTTTGAAATAAAAACTTGGGTAATTTCAAGAAAACTTCAAAATTTTATTAAACAAGTAATTGGCACTTGTGGGCAACTTAGTATTCTGACAAGGCACCTTCCATCTGGAACAACTTGGGCTAGGGACAACTCGGCACAGACAAGGTACAACTCTGATTCTGGAACAAGCCAACTTTAAATAATCAAAGTACAAGTTTGAAAATACAAGATGCAGCTTCATTCGGGCAGGTACAACTTAGTTTCACAGGCTGCGCAAATGCTGACTAATGATGCCACATGTGATGCCATGTGGTGACCATCCTGACACAATTTGACTTGCGTATTGCCAATACATCTTAAATTTATTTTGGTATGAAAAACAGAAATATATGTAATTTGGCAGTGTTTCCTTATAATTGAGAAGGAATGAAGTGCTGGTATTTTTCTCAATAACCTCTATGAGATTTTGACTTAGAAGCAGAGGATGTAAGGGCAACCCTGGAGACTCCGAGGAAAGCCTAGCAGGGAGGATCCAAAGCGTGAATAGAAGCTACGGAAATACACGGAGGGACCGACCTAGCAGGGGAGGATCCAAAGAGAAGAAACTCTAAGTGTCCGCCTGCTAGGGTGCCAACTATATACTGGTCGTCCGTAACTGCCGACGTAGAGCGCAGAAGGCCTGAGCGGTGTCGCAAGCTCTGTCCCAAGGTGATCGTTGGGAGGGTCTTGACGGATCGGTGATTGTGCGGGCGAAGGAGGCTGTGGACGATGGTTGGGGTGGGTCGGAGCGTCCGAGGGGGCGCCGGTCGGATGCGCCTCGGATGCGTTCGGAGGGTCCGAAGGAGGCCGAAGCGGGGGTTCCCCTGACAGAGGATGGAAACCATGTCAGGCTGTTCTATTAGCCACTTCATTCTACCAGAACCTGTGAAGCCCTATGTAGATCAATCTCTCTCCCAGTATATATCTTATCAAAAATCAGTTTTGCCTGATACTTATTCAGTAAGCAATTACTAATTTGTCTTTTGGTCCAACTTGACTGAGAGAAATGAGTTGTTGTCCTTGAACTGAAAATTGACTAAAAATAGTTGTCTTAGGTCAAGGAAAAGTTGTACCCACCTGCCAGAAAAGTTACCCTTGCCTTAAATCGGTCACTTTCTAAGTTGTCTAATAGTTTGCCAAGTTGTTCTCAACCTAAGTTGTCCCATACAAAAGTTGTCCTGATGTGGTATAAAGTTGTCTTGATATAAGTGCCACTTGTATCAAAAAAAAGTTGTCAATAATTGAAGTTGTCTCAAAATTATGCATGTCATTTTCCTAAAGATGTTGTTTATTAATGTTACAGTATATTGCCCATACCAGGCAACGCTCCAGGCGCTCGCCATCTCCGACACTGTTGGAACACACATTCTGCTTGCGTATAACGCCGAAGAGAACTCGAAGATACCACAGCTCACCTTCCCCTGTCTCACGCGCTTTGCTGGGCCATCGGCACTAGCTGAAAACTGGCTACTGCATTCGCCCATCGAGCATCTGGTGATCCCCTGCTTCGCTGTGCCAGATGGCATGGTGAGAGATGTTCTGCATGTCATCAACGCCGCCAACCTCACATCATGCGCCTTCTTCGTGGACGGGTGGGACGCGGCCAGTGCGCCATTTGCCGCTCTTGCTGCCCATGCGCCAGGCATCAATATGCTCACTGTGTTTACCAATGGAGATGGTGGTGTGGAGGCGTACGAGGTACAGTACTACCCTGCCCCCAATTGAAATTGCTGAGCTGTCACAGGCCTTCCTGCTGTCGATCGACCCCTTCCTTGCGCAACTGACCAGCTTGTCGACGCTGCAGCTGCCAAGCTCGGGCCGTCACGCTGCGGAGACGAACCAACTTGCGGACTCGGAGGGCACTACTTCAGAGATCACGCATCTCCGCCGCTGGGCAAAGTGCTGCCCGACTCTGATCTACGTCAGGCTCAGTAAATACTGGAGTTGGGCGGCACACATGGGCACATGGCTCAACCCGGACAAAATTGATGGGACGTGGCGGATTGGTACGGACTCGGAGGTCGGCAAGCACAAGTCCAACTCGGAGTCTGACGACGAGAGAGATGTTGCTGGTGACGCCACGTGGCACAAGCGCTTGCAAGAAGTAGAGGCAGTGATGGGTCACACTTTATCTCTCGTTTCATGCACCCTTCTATGAGACTTCCTCCAAGGTTTAATTGCACTTTTCGAATGAATATAATTGATCCTGATTTGTCTAATAACGAGCGAACGCATGGCCATATGTCATTATCTTACTCGTCAACGCAGAACGACATTAAGCGCTGCCCGTGAACACCTGCAGGAGCACCAGCGTGAGTCCGCGCACGTATAATGTCGGGCATTAGATGCGAAACAAGTCGGCTGCAATGGGAAATGGACATCACAAGTTCGACACTCGAGATCAGCGGTTCAGAAGAGCGGATCGTCAAGCCCAGTGAAATGTAGTTTTGCTGATGAAACGTTCTTGGAGGGAGATCGCAGGGGGGATGGTGCCAACATCGTTGCTTGTCAGTTGCTGTACTGGCTCCCGTCAGACCAAAGAACGACAGAGGAGAAAGACACATTTGTTCTACCAAAGCCTCTGGTTTTCGCGTTAGTCAGCGGTGCTATACACTGGCAGTTAGCGTCGAGGCCTCACCGCTGCATGTTCCAGCCGTCATGTCTGCAAGTGATAGTAGGCAAAGGAGCTTCAAGCCACGCGCATAGGATTTAGCGCTGGGGGACAGGTGTCGCAAGCAATTGGTTCAGAGAGGGCATTGGCAGTCACAGCTGTTCGTCGTTCAAGTTGTCGTTTTTCGCGTTCTCATCATCACGGCGACTTGCTGCAGGTCGGCGGGTGAATGCTCAGAAAATGCAAGGACAGTGAGCCACGCACCTGCATTCACGTATTGGCTAGCCTCCGTGGATATCGCCACCCGCTCTTGTCTTCCATCCCCAGCCAAATCCAAGTTTGGCGCAATCTTCCAGCGAATCAGCTTGGCCTCTGGATTAAAACAAGGCCATAGGCTTACCAAAGACCCAGGGCAACGCGCTCGAGGCTCCGTGGAGTACTGCGCTGGATGCGCGCGCTGCACTGCACGTCGTCGTGGAGGCGCTGAGCAAGCGTGTGAGTGCTGATCGGCTCTCGGCTCAGCGTAACACCGTGACGGATGCGTATCACCCGTTCTTCCGCTCCACGACGACGGGCGCGTGAGCGCTGTGTATAAGCAGCCTCGAGGGGCCATGCTTCCTTCCGCATCTTCTAACTGCTGGTGCGTCGCTCTAGTCCCCCGCTCATATCCCCACGCTGGCAGCTTCCACTCGTTAGCTCACCAAGAGCCAGTGTTCCAACCGCAGTGCTTTCGACGGGGAGGGGTGCAGAGGCGTTGGCGCCAGGATGGAAGCGGAACCAGAGGTATGCCCCGTACGATCTGGGGCGCAAAAGAACTCCGTGGGTGGTAGTGGGAAAAAGATCAAGGTGCGTGCTCAGCGCTTCTTCCTGTTCGCATTCTCAACAACAAGAAGGTGGACACATTGGCCGACCGAGCGCGGCTTGCATGGAACTGGCGATTGTCCCATGGACTGCTGGTACTCTTTTCTCCACTACCCCCGCAGTGCGCCGAACGCCATATCTACGCGATGTCAACTGCTTCACCTCAAATCCCCCGCTGGTAGGCTCGGATTCCACTCCCTGAACTTCTCTATCGCGACAGCCGCTGCTTCCCTCACCACCCAGTGCTCCCATCCTTGCCGTGTCTCGTCGGCAGCCCAAAGAACACCATGCCTACGTCATCAAATCGCGGAGCAAGCGCCACGGCCAATCGTTGTGCGGCTCGTAGACTCTATCCGCCACCCTTGCGACAAGCCGACACGCGGACTCGCGCCACCACTTGGACTCGATGGACACCCTGCGAATCTCCGCTGAGTGGGTAGTGTCGCGGGACATGTCGAGGCAGGAGAGAATCGCGTTGCTGCTTCTCAGCGCCGTCGTTGCTTGCAGTCGAAGGAGGAATGGGACGGGGCCGTCGAGTCCTCTCGACGTAATAGGAGCGGCTCGTGGTCGCTGTCAACGTCAGTCGTCGCCGTTTCGTTCGGTGTGTGCGAGTAAATGGCATGTTGGGGGTCGCCGTATGTCCCCGAGCTCCGAATGATCTGGTCAATGGCTGATGCTAGCATCGCCTCCAATTCTCCATCTCCGACTCGATACGAGCTTTGAGCTGCGCGCCGCGCGGCGAGGCACATAGCGGGCCAAGGTACCGCCAAAGCGGGAACGGACTGGTCGTGATGGATGGTTCGCGGAGCATGCGACTTGGGGAGATCCTAGCTTGGAAAACATGACCAACGCTTCAACTGCCCGCGATCGGCCCAGTTTATACTGACCTGCGCGACGAGCAAGCAGGCCAGGGCCGCTGCGTCGACTCGGAGGGAGACGTGCCATGCTGCAACGAACGTGATGCCGCTTGGATTCGTGTCGCTAGATGGACTCAGTTGCCTTGTGATTCTGTATATGTCGTACGAATTTTTTTCCCGCTAGGAGTTATTCGTATCTGTCACGAGGCCTCGTGACACAGGTCCACGTGCAGCCCACGTAATATGTGATTGACATTCCGCTTCTTGCTCTTGACGCTCATGAGTCAGATTCCACAGAGGCCCACCCTTGAACAAGTGCCGCCATGGTGCAAAGTAAGTTATCATCCTTCAACAAGTGCTTACAACTAGCCCAAAACCCGTAGCAAATCGCTCTGGCGGCCTGCTCTCCGACGTGCTCCGTCCCTGATTTCAATCGATTTCTCCGCGTATGGACAGAAGCAAGCCCTACAGTACGCTCCACACTACTTCCTGTGCTCTTATACGTCTTTGATCCCGCTCGAATTCCTTCGCCAGTGGCGCTGGAGACTGGCGCAGCTGGATACCCTCTTGCAATGGCCTGTGTGCGTCGGGTCTGGCGAGCACTTGTGCAATTATCCTTTAACAAGACAGAGGACCCGAACGGCATCATGATGGACCTAGTTCAAGTCGTTGTTCCTTGGTACGACTTCTTCAGCACCTTCCATGCTTCTCTCGACATCCCCATCAATGACAATGTTGGCACACAAATAAGCGCCACCCAGCTTCGCGCCGAGCTCCTTCATGGCTTCATACGCTTCATGAACTCATTACACTCTCGTGACCCCCAGAGTGGGCCTTTCCAGTCGTGGGAAACCAGGCACGAGCAGTTTCTTTCGACACCCCGATGGCTGCATCTTGTTATGCAGGCATGGATGCTGTTCATGTCCGAGCTTGCACATGTCAAAGGGCATCCCGCTCTCGAACCCATCACCACCTGTGTTCAGCTTCTGCCCCAGAATGCCGACCGCGGCCATCTATCGGAAATCATCAACAGCATCGATGGGAGTTTGAAGGGTCTGTTCACATTTCTCAAGGCTCATCTCCGCGTTGTCCGGTCTATACTACCGCTGGGCAACCCCGCGACATTGATAGCCCTATTTTATCCCCTGGGCCTATTCAAGATGCTGCATGTTCTCTCAGCAATGACATCGGAACCGGAATCACCACCTGCACTCATCAACCTGGCAAGTCACACGACCGCAGACGAACTATACTCGTGCCGTCTGGCGGGCGATCTTCTCCCTATGCTGACCATCTTGTATGGGGTCCAACCACCACACCCGGACGTCCATCATGCTCTGTGGGCAGAGACGGTGCGCCTGATGCTGGAAGTGGTCGATATCATGATGCGCACCCATCCACGTGTGATTCGCTATGCGCTGAGGCAGGACCTCCTACGGCATGTGCTTCCGTGCGTGCGCCTTCTGCCCGATGATGCCATTCTCGCTGCATTTTCCAACATATTCTCACTGCTGATTCCCGCTGCGTTGCTCCACCGGAGTGTGCTCCCTGCGCTTGCTATTAGCATAGAAGTCCTGGAGGCTGAGACTGCTCAAAAGCCGCTGTTCCAGCTTATAAAAACGTCAACCCTTGGGCCCATGTGGACGAAGATGACGGGGCTTGTTGGAGACCACCACAAGATTTTCCTCCGGTGTGAAATGCCTGCAGAGGTCAACCAGTTCTATGGCCACGACCATTATCGTGCATGTGATAATCCAATTTGTGGTCTAATCAAGGATGCATCTGAGTTCCGCCGATGTTCGGGCTGCCTCTCCTGCTGAACGTGTGGACGTGGTCCATGCGTGACCCGGAGTCGCACGCCAAACTACTGCAGGACAACCCGGATCTGGATGTGTGGCGTGACCGTGCGCGGCGGAGCCGTGGGCGCCTTCTGCTATATGTGATCAGTGTGTCGATTGGCCCGGAACGCACCATGGCTATCCTCATCCCGCTGCGCATGAACATGTCATTCCTTGGCGACATGGCAGCGCGTTTGACGCGGCGCCTCACACGTCGAGAAGGGGGCATGGCAGCAGAGCTATTGCAAATTCAGCAGGCATTCATCGATAGTGCTGACAGGTGGCCGAAGAAGTTGCTTGATATATTCCAATACTAGCGCGTAGCGAAGGTCTCACCTACAACTTGAACCTATGACTTCCTAACTTCAATAGACGCAGTTCTTCTTAGTATTGCGTGAACACAAGCCAGATCGATTGCTGGAAGACTGCACAGCCCTTCCTATTATACGGCGGGCTCGCTAGCCGCGCCGTGTAGGAAGGAAAACTAGGAGCTAGTTGTAAGCGGAGCGGACGTGCACAAGGAGGAGAGGCTATATAGCACTCTCGCAAGAAACTTATGCACAGCGTGAACCAGTAGAAAAGACCAAGAGAGCAGCAAAAAGGATCGAGAGCGGGATAGCGATACCAATCTAGGTAGACGAGTGAGTGAAAAGCCCCGAGCAAGAAACATGACGATCCACTGGTTCGTCATGCTGGCAGCCGTTATTCGAGTCGTCATGTGGAGGTGCAGGCCGCGGTGGGAAAGTCCCCCGCCGCTAGCTACCCCTAGTACTGCCGCGACCACGCCATATGGGCAAGATTCGAGCTCTGCCAGTGCGCTGTGCATAGCCAGCAGAGAACGTCAGTCAGCACTCAGATCGGAGGCAGATAATCATGCGCACCTGCCCTTTGGCTTCTCTCCTGGCAGTGGCTTCTCGTGAGTCGTGACGTTGCGGAGTTGTACATATGCATGGGAAGTCGTGAGGAGACCCAGAGCTGTCCAAACACCACAACGTGCTCGCGTAGTTTGACTGCCAGCTTCCGCTGGGTCCGCTTGCCGCAAACGCCCTTCGATTGCCTATGACGCTGCGGTCAGTGTCGTTAGTACGCAGCAGCGGGCACACACAGGGCCCTCTGTGCCCATCTCTCCGTCAAGCTAAGATCTGTTGGCTATGCCGCGTGGCACAGAAAGTTGGGTCGTGCCGAATAGCGTGCCAGGCGAAAATCTGGCTTGTTTTGTCGTTCACTTTGGCGAAGATAAGTGGACCTCACCCAGCGGAAAGAGACCACTACGCACCTTACTATCCCAATGGTCTCTTCCACCGAATCTCCCGCCGCGCGCCACACCTTGCCCATGATCTCGACCTGCTGATTCCACCTTTGGCGTTGGCGCAATCTTCTCATGAATGAGCCCGGATTGTAGATGGAAACAAGGCTATACACGCACCAAAGCCCCGTGCCAGACCGCTTGAGCATCGGTCCAGTACCGCGCTGGATGCGCGCGCTGCATTGCGCGTCGTCGTGGAGGCGCTGCGAGAGCGTGTGAGCGCTGATCGGCTCTCGGCTCGGCGTAACACCGTGACGGATGCATATCACCGGTTCTTCCGCTCCACGACGACCTGCGCGTGAGCGCTGTGTATGCGGTGCATTCGGCGACTTCGAGGAGGATCAAGGAGCTCCACTCTGGCGCCAAAGGATAGAAGGATGGCATTTCCGGATACGATGCAGTGATAATGACGCTGATCGGACTGGTGCGTGGAATACAGCATATGCATGACCGCTCATGTGCCTTAACGTTGCTATCTAGCTTGCTCGACCAGCTGCCGTTACTGCGCCTCACCATCTATCCGTGTGGCCGGCTTTGAGGGACAGGCTCTATTGGGCGATCGGATCGGTTCGTGGCGACCACATCTTCCCTCAACGTGGCTGGTGCCAGTGCACATGCGCACTGGCACATGGAGTACATGCGGCAAATTCGCCTTCTCTTGTCTTGAGCCATGGCCTCCGAATCGTATCCACCTTCAAGCGACCACTTCTTCTCCTCAAGGCTCCTTCCTACCTCGGTGGAATGCGAGCACATCTTCGCCTTACTCCGGAACCGCTCCACACTGTCTTCAGGGCTAAACGAGATCAGAAGCTTTCCCGCGAAGGCTACTCCGGACTTGCTGAAGTACGAGGCGACAATCGCGGAGGTGCAGTCGATCCTAACGCGGTTGCGCAACGAACAACGTCAACTCCAGCGCTATGCCCAGGCCTGCGCCAGCATCTTTTCCCCCATCCGTCAGCTTCCGCCTGAACTGCTGTTGCCCATCCTCAAAGACTGCGTCAGCGATATTCCAGTAAATGCACAACCCCACCTTGACATCGACACGGACCGGGGCGCTGCAGCACGCTTTGCTGGACCGCCACTTGCCATGGACTCGGAGGACAGGCTGATGTTATTCCGGGCTGCAAAACAGGGCTGGGTGCTCCTCTCCACCGTCTGCTTGTATTGGCAGAGGCTCATCTTCGGGGCCCCCCACATCTGGGCGAATATCGAGATCATGGGACTGAAACCTCAATATGATTTGCTTGTGGCGGAGTTTGTGCGCCTCACTGTGGCTCGTGCTGGAGACGAGCTGTCGCTCGATGTTGTGGCGAAGCTCCATTTCCCTGCATGGCCGCCACAGCGCCACACGCTACAAGTCCTATGCATGCACTCTACCCGCTGGCGATCCCTTGTGCTGATAGGAAATCACAGCGACTTTCGGGGCCCTTGAAGAAGCACGGGGCCGGCTTCATCGCTTGGAAAGCGTCGAAATAAAGTTCAGTGCCTACGACAACCATTTTATTTCGCAATGGGATGTCCTTCGGAGTGCCCCGGTCCTGAACAGGGTGATCTTCGATATCGGCAGCAACTTAGGGCCGCCGCAGCTTCCGTGGCAGCAGCTCCGTGATATTAGGGTCACTTTTACGGACTCGACTGCAAGTTCCAATGCGCTCTCCTTCTTGGAACAATGCCCCGCATCGTGTACCATCACAATGTATGGTGCAATAAAGACATTTCATGGGTGGCCGGACAGCGGCGGTGCTCTCCACTCTGATATCTCAAGGCTCGTGGTAGTAAACGATAACCCCGCTCGCCTTCATCTGTATTCCCATTCCAAGACCACTCTCCTAGGAAAGCTCTTCGGCCGGCTTGTGCTGCCAAATCTGCGCACACTGAAATTTGCAATTGCCGACGCGGGGCTGCCTGCAGCACCGTGGGACGCTAAGGGCTTTCGAAAGCTCGCCAGCCACGCCGAAAACCTCACGACACTTCAACTGTGCAACATCGCCATTCCGCCCGTCGCACTGCTGGCCGCCTTGCATGCTGTGCCACGCCTCGGTGAACTCTGGGTGGAGGACGTCGAGCTCTGCGGCGGAAAGAATCCCGTGGTGCTCAACGACACTGTGTTTGCGACGTTGCGCGACGACATGGCATTGGTGCCTATGCTTCGGAAGCTTAGTGTGGTGTCGTACTTCCAGTTCAAAGCGGAGCTCCTTGCGCAGTGCCTGCTCGCACGGGCCCAGCTGGTCACCGATGTGAGCTTGGACGGTGCAGTCCAGTTTTCCTTTGAGGCTTGTGTGCTTGTTGAGACGTGCGATGAGGATGCGTATATTGCCCGTGCCATTGAGCTGATTGAACTTGTGGAGGATGTGTTATTTGCTGAGATCAGTCCAGAGGATGAGAGATTAGAGATTGGGTTGTACTACGATGTTGCCAAGTGGCGTGATGTGTGCATAGTCACTTGAAGCATGTAGCTATTGTACACCGGCACATATGCAACAGAATCATGTTAAATGTCTCCTCGGACGCGTATTGACGCGTCTAATGCATCATATGGACACGTTCTTCGTTGGTTATTTATTGTTTACAGCCACACGATTCCAAGCTACCTCTACGCTGAACAAAATGCATGTAAAATTTCAATACAATCACTTCTCTTCATGCCTCAGCTCCGGCGGCAGCGGCACATGGGGGAACTGCACGGGACGGGGGCGGGAGTGCTTAACTTTGCGCTCAAAGAGACCGCACTCGGTGCAGACAATCTTGCCGACGGAGAGCTTGCTGCGGCGCCAAGTGCTGCTTTCAGTCGTCCAGCAGTTGAAGCAGCACGGGCGGAGTGTCACGCGGTCGGTCCCTTCCACGCCGGGGGGACCGAGGCCGGCAGAGACATTTTGTGAGCTGGTTGGTGGGCGTTGTTGCGGGAGCGGCACTGAGTGGTTCCGGTTGGGCGGCAGGGGGCATGAGGCGGTCCCCGGAGGCGATGCGGGAGGTGTACTGGGCACACTTGGGTGCTGTGTGCCGCATCAACGTGTGTTGAACGAGCAAAGCGAGGGTTACGCACATGCTCTGCAGCCTCAGACATGCTGGAGGTGGAGTTGGTAATCAGGGCGGCGACCAGCGGAGAACGGGGCGGATTCAATGCGGAGAGACAAACTTTCAGATTCCAGATAGGTCCCCACCAGGCGTTTCTATACGCCCTACCGCAACCCGCGGGTGATCTTCTGATCGGACGTTGAGCCCCCCAATGTATTGCTCGCGAGCGACGAATTGTCCTTCTCTTGTTTGATTCTGGGTCCGCTGATGGACTGAGGTCCACCCATAATTCCCCGAGACGCCAGTCCCAAAAGAACCGTCTCCGCCCTCTGCTGGATTTGACCAACAAGAACATCACGAGCACGTCTCTGCACACGCCTTGAGATGGATGCAACATCCAGTAAGAGAGCGATTAGAAGATGGCATGGAAGTCAACGACGCGTTCGCAAGATGCTCGATGGGGGAGATTGGAGTGTAAGTATTCCAATAGGAAGGGTCGGAAAAGGCCGCGAACTTGACGTGTCGTAGTCTTGCATAGATGTGAACACGAGTTTGGGCTGAGAATAGTGGATACGAGTGGTCGTTGTCGCAAATATCATGTAAGAGGTGCGTCTGAACAGTGAAATGGGTATTGCACTGAGTACTATCAGCACGACGCACCACCCACACATCATATCCTTCGAGCTTTCTCTCTCCTCTTCTCCAGGCTCTCCTCGATCAGTGAGCTAGATGACGAAGACCTGAGAGAAAAGTAAGCAGCCCTGCTGGAATCTGAGGCGGAGGACGTACTCGTGGTGGGATGCTCCAGCCAGCATTACTCTTTGAATCCCCACTCTCGACTCCACCGTCTCCCAGTTCTCGTCTAGCTGTCGTGGGCTATGTGTGGAGACGCAGGTCGTTGTCGGTGAGCAGCGGCGAGGCTATACGAGGCGCGGGGCTCGGGAGCTCGAATAACGCTGAATCCCTCATCATTGAGGCCACTGTCGTCAGTGTCAACGGAGTTCTGCAGACAACACGGTCAGGAAACGAGAAGACTACAAGGCCCGCGCTGGGACGTACCACTATGGCCAGGAACTCTTCATCCAGCCCAGCTATCTTCTCTAAGACTCCCGCAAATGGGCGCTGTGGGGACAGCGAGGAGGAAACTCTGGCGGATGTCAAGGTCGACAGTCAGCGCTCCATATGAACAGCTGGGGAGCATACCAAGCCGTGTGCGCTACGCGCTCTGCATACGATGGTCGAGTCGCAAGAGAGAGGTGTTCCCGCGGACTGCAACGCGAGGTGGTGGTGGAGCGGAAGAAGAAAAAGATGGGCCGATCACGCCGCGTCACACGTCAAATTCTTCTTCTTAACGACCACTCACGTCGACGTCCCACAGCCTGGCGAAAAGCATCCCCTCAGCTGGGCAACACGGCTTGCGGGCCAACGCAGCCGCTATCCCTCCCCCCATCTCTCCCAAACCGCGAAGACGACTGGTGCGTTTCAAGAGCCACTTACGGGACTCTGGCGGACTTAGGATGTGTGAGGAGGAAAGGTGACGTAGAGCAGGGTGGTGGAATAGATTGCCGGCGGGTGCATGAAGAGATGCGCGGGAAGCGCGCATAACGACGACCGATGAACATGGGGGGTGTTCGGCGCCCATAGGCGACGACGGCGACGCCGTGGAAACGGTGACGAGGCCAGGGGTTAGTCGTTGGCAAGGTGCCGCAAGCACTTGAAGTATTCTTCACGGATAGTCTGCGAAAATGGGTGAGCATGGGCGGGACAGCCAAGCTAATTGATAACGCACCGCGAACACCACGAAGATCTCTGAATTCGAGCCCGGACTCCCCAGAATAGCGCGCTCGGCGACAGATTCCCTCCCCACCCAGCCCTCTCGACCCGCCTCCCATCGTCGTTATTGGCAGCGGTGCCACATCATCGGCCGTAAAGCTCCATACAGGCCCATGGATACGCTCTGCACGAGCGCGCAATGGTTCGCCTGGCATGGGTGCATCGTCAGCAGCAGCCGTGCGAAACAAGCCGGGTAGACGCACTCGACACCGGCTTCCTTGCGGCTTCCTTCTCTCTCCGTCCAGTCGGGCTCTCTCTCTCTCTCCCAGACGAGACAAAGATTGGATTGCATGCGGACAGCGCCACGCGCACACGAGCTCTTGCACCGCAAGGCATTGCCGCATTCCCGCTCCTGCGGGCAACGCCGGGACGCGTTCACGTCCCACCAGATGGTGGTTCGGGAAGAAGAAGTGATTGGCGTGGCACGTGCAACACGGCATGGTCCGTGCGCGGCCGTCAACTACGCGCGGATCCTCGCTTCTTGCTTCCCTTCCCCCTTGTGCTTGCGCGGCTCTGTGGCTGGCGCGCAGGGTCCAAACTGGGGCTGTGGAGAGGACCAGCTGTTGGGGGGATGTCATGATCTGGTGCGCTGCCTTGCGCTTCTTCTGAACGGTTTGGAATGAAGGGACTCATCCAGTTTGAATCCAGATGCGCCTAGCGCCTAAACGTCACAAGGATAGGCACTGTGCAGCTCTGCTTGCGCGTAGTGGCCTCTATCGACGATCTGGTCTCCTCGTAGGAATAGGATGGCGAGGGAAGGAAGAGGGGGGAAAGCCATGTACTCGCTCCCGTCGGAGCAGAATTGACGAATAGCGAGAAGCTTTACAATGTGTGTGCCCTCCGCCTTTGTCTCCAGGTTATCTTAGCATATGAGCGGTCTAGGCAGCCTACTTACACACGCGCGTGTTGTACCTTACATCTATGGGCAGATCATATTTCCCGTGCAAATCGTAACCACGAACGGCGCGAGTCCGCACGACACACAACAAGCGCGCGATTCAGCGCCACCTCTGCATACCTTTTCCCGTCAACTTCTCAGCCACGACACGGTATGCTCCCAAATTCGTGGCCCAAAACAAACTCTCTTTACTGACCCCTTCCTAGCCACGGAATGCAACCCGCATTTTGCCGTCGCCAATTGATTGGTGGAAGACCGTAGACCCAGAGTCTATGACTTTACTCCTGGCGGATTGGTCTTGTCAGTGCGTGAAAATCCGCGACCGCGCACTCTCTCGCGACACGCCGACAAGCTTGCGGATACTCTAAGTTGCGTACACAGAAGCAATATACGGGAACTCAACTTCTAAATGTAACTGCTCTACAGTTCCTCCTGCCCGCCCTGACCTTCTCCCCCCTGTAATGCTGCATTTCGTTCAAAAAAAAAAATGAAGTCAATGGTGCAACAAAGGATTATATTGACTGTCAGACGCGATGATTACAGAGGAGTGCAGCATCATTATAATTTAGACTTAAATCTAAGAAATTATCTCTGATGCTAGATCAATACTTGAAATGTGTAGGCAGCAAGCTACAATTGAATGATAACTCCATTCATTATCTCCACCACCAAGTGTCCATCCCAAGTCGTGAAGTTTTGACTATTTCAAGCCCAATCCTTACTAGCTGGGGTGTGTGTGCATTGCGCAATCCGCGCCGAACCATACCCGAGCCAGACAATCTCCTGAATGCATACCCCCATCAGCTTTTGTCGACCTGTGCCTTGGCCTCGGTAAGGAAGAACGGGGCGGAGTCAGCAGCACATTGGAAGCAGAGAGATGCAACTGCATTAACATCCCTGCCGACCGCTGGACGAAGGTCGTTAACCCAGCCCTGATGGATTTGCGCGTCTGAACATCGCTGGTGAGCCTCAACCAACGCCAGCGAACCTCACACACAGCCGTCACGGTCTCTCACGCGTTGGACATGGCCGCCTCTGCGGCGCCTGCTCTGCTCATTCCCAGGCCCAACTCTGAGCCTGTACTCCATGTCCTCTTCCGAGCCACCGACAACCGTTTGTTGTTCTGCGGCGCCTACGCCCGCATGAAGCAAGGCGTTGTTGGTCGCCTAAGAACCCGCAATAATTGTAGACAAACCGAGCAGGGTTGTCATGGCCAACGTAAAGAGCAACTGCCGTTTTTGTCGACAGAAGATGCCTTGTGACCCGCCGAACAAGATGCTCTGCACACCCCCTGCGACGCCAATGGGGGTCAGTGAAGACTTTGGTTATCGTCGCCACATGGTCAGAGTTTCGCGTGAAGGCGGCGATGGACGCAGGCTGCCTCCTCGTTGCAGACTGGGTCTTTGCACAGAGATGGTTGGAATTTCCGGACCGTCTTCGTCATCCACAGTGGAGTCGGGAAAATTGCCAGACCATATTTGACCATATAAGTGCGAAGCAAGAGGATAGAGCAACCCTGTAAGCGCAGTCAATAAGGAAATAGCAGCACTGGAATTCGCCGTACCAGTCGCCGGTCGCGGCACTAGTTGTTGCATGCCCTTTGGATTACGCATAGCTACGGTGGGTTTCGAGTTTTCCAACGAGCGGAGCAACGCAGAGCAGGAATAGCCTCAAGCATCCGCGAGAGCTATCGTCATCGTCGTTGTCGTCGACGAAATAGACTCGGGTATGAAGGTCTGTCGGCGGTTTCATGGTGATTAGAGATGGGGTTTCTGGAACACATCTCGACTTTCGTGGGCCTTTTATACCTTTCGCCACTGTGTACACGCGGCCTTCGACGAGCTTCGATGACATTCTGCTGACTCTATGTTGTCAGGGGACGCGCGTCGCAAGGCGATGCTAAATGATTCCGTGTGTGGGTCCGTCGCGAGGCATTGCTTGATTGCTTGAACGAACAATGACTGTGTGTGTGCCGCAGTGTGTTGTTTCCACCTGTGGACTCATAGGCAGATTAGTCAAACGTGGCCTGAGAGCAGTGATAGAATCCCCAGCAGATATGGCGAAGCTGGAGTCTGAGTGGAGGCACACAGTGTCCGCGGCGTTACGCATAGCATTAATCGGGTCGATCTGCCGGTTGGACGATATAGAGGGCATATTAATGTTATTGGGGCTGATTGGGAGACACCAGAGTAACGTCATGATTTCGAGTCCCAAAACCTGAAGTACATCCACGAGCCTGTGCGAAGGCGTCAACACAACGAAACTAAGGCGAGCGGGTCACGTACTGAGAGCAAACTCTGCACCCATTGGTCATCGGCGCCGTGGCAAGCTGGACTGGCCTAGTTGTTGGTCGCAAGGAGGCAATCGTGCTCCGCACCCAGGAACAAGACCACGGGGCGCTGCACGGTGTTACATGGCTGACAACTCGAGTTTATTCTTGGGCAAAGAGAACAATAACGCACCTGTTGCCATAGCAGTCTCTTCGTCTTCCCCCCGCAATTCGGGAGCGAAATAATAGAAACAGCGATAGGGTCCCTCTTGGCTAGGCGCTACGATCCACCTCCGAGTCGCCCGCCCAGGCACCGCCTCCGAGTCCTTTGACAGACACCCTAGAAGTATGTGACTGGTAGTTGTCTTGAAAGTTGAGACGTGCCAACGAGCGGCGTATTGAAGGAATGAAGTCGGAAATCCGGCGCTGGCACCTTCCTACTGTTGAGAATGGGAGCAAGAAGAGGGGCCGAGCACGCACCTTTCTCTGCTACACCACGGTCCCCACCCGCGGAGTACTCTTCCATGAAGAGCGCCAACAATCCCGACCCTCCTCCGATCTCACAGGCGCGGCGGTTGCGGCACTGGCTCCTGGTGGCCCGTGGGGCTACCGAGTGGAAGCTGGCGTTGGGCGGCTTGGCAGTGAACCTCGGTCCGAGTCAGGAGTTGTGACGCGGATATGTGCGGGTACAATCAACGCACCAGTGATGAGAAGAGCCCCGCTGAAGGGAGCAGGGCAGCTTATCGCGTCGAGTCTGCCCAACAGCGCGCATACACAGCGTCCACGCGCTCGTCGTCGTGGAGCGGAAGAACCAGTGATACGCATCCGTCACGGCGTCACGCCGAGCCGAGAGCCGATCACCGCTCACACGCTTGCTCAGCGCCTCCACGACTATGCCCAGTGCAGCGCGCGCATCCAGCGCGGTATGGGACGGATGCTCAAGCAGCCTTGCATGGGTGTTCGGTGCATGTGCGGCTTGGGTTTCAGCCGCGAGCCAGGCTAGTTTGACGCGGGGCTATTGTGAGGTGCTCCTTTTCCGTGCGTAAGGTCTGCTCATGTGCGCCAAAGTGAACCATGCAATGCAAGGACGAAACGAAGAAGAGTCCCTGGTGCTATGGAAGAGCTCGCAGGGCTCGGGGAGAATCGTCAGTGTGCCCGCTGCTGCCAGCGTCATCGGCATCGGCGCCACATCGCCAGCCGACTAGCAGCAAGCGAGCGTGGATCGACCTCGCGATCGGTGCGCCTCCCATCCAAATCCAAATTCTGAGATATCCTTGACGCGAGGAACGAGCGGCTCAAGGGTATCTGCGGATAAGTTAGATAGAGATGTGTCGAGTAGGCTATCATGTGACTCACTTTCGACTTCCTCTCGGCCCTCGACACGTCTCGCCAGCCCTTTTTCTCTTTGGCTCCTCGACTAAGACCCTCTTTCTCCACGTCACCATGCCAGAGAGGAGCCCTAGCCCTACGGCCGCGCCGCCCAGAACGCGCCGCACTCACTCCTCGGCCAACGTCATCGAGGCCCTCCACAACCTCAGCTCTTCCCAGAAACGCGCCGAAAATGAGAAGATAGAAGCGAGAAACGCGCTCAGGGCGGAGAAAAAACTCCAACACGCGCGGGACCCCGACACCTACTCTGACGCCTCGGACAATGAGTCCCTCATCACGGTCGAAGACGAGTCGTCAGTCTGGGACAGGCTCCTCTCCAAGGCCTCCCCCCGCACGGCTTTCGAGGCCATCGCAAAATTCGGCGATGTGATGTCAGGCAAGAGAAAGGCCCCGGACCAAGCCCAGCCTGTGGCGAAGAGATTGCGAGAAGAAACACGCCTTGTACCCGGCCTTGCCCTCCCAGTCACCTTCCACCGCTTCCTCCACGACCTTTTCCGCCTCGATATGGAATGCCCCCTCTCCCTCTTCACCACCTCCTCCCTCCGCTACATCGCTACCAATGCCGCCACCCTGCCCACAAAGAAGATCAACGCGCCCGAGGGAGTCGACAAGCGCCCTGTGGTCCTTGATGTGGGTGATTTCCAGAAGAATGTCTTGGACGAGAACAACTTGGATCGGGGCCAGTGGATCGAGGCCAGCAAGAATTTCCTTTTGTTCGTGGCGAAGCCCAGCCCGGAGCGCGCCCGAACGTTACACGGACCATTTCGCTTTCTTCGAGCAGCACCAAGACGGCGAAGACCTTTTCCCGGCCATCCTCAAAACGGACATCAAACTGCGCTCCCAATACCTCCTCTCCCCCTTCATTTTCGATGTTGCTTTCTACAGCTCCCACCTCCAGTCCGCCGTCGTCGACCTGAAGATCGCACGTGCTAGGTTGACCCAGCCCACGGCTCCGCTTGCCCTCCAGGCCCCCCGACTCCCATCCTCCGCCGTCTTGCGTGTGGGCCGGGGGCCCTCTCTTGCGAGGCGGGGGCGGCCTCCCGGCACGCCCTTCCTTTCGGCCAGGCACCGGGGTGGGAGCGCGCGACCCCGTCTGCCTCATCTGCGCTAGATCGGGCCACACGGGGCCAACCTGTTCCTCCAGATCCCTCCCTGACGGGAAAGCCACCTTCAGCGAATTCAAGAACGACTCTATCGTCACCAAAGTTGGCGCGCTTGACCTCTGCAGGAACTGGAACACCCGCGGCGAGGGTTTCTCGAGTTGCACCCACAACAGAGAGCGTGTCCACCAGTGCTCCTTCTGTGGCGACAGATCCCATCACGCTTTCAGCTGGTCTTGCCAACGTAACCCCCTCGCTGTCTGACGATGAAGCAGACTCTTTCTTGCGATCCTTCTTGCCACCCCCTGCTTTCGATGAAGAGATTTTCTCCCGCGTAATCACGCCTTACGACCCAGATGCGTTCCTCGACTTGCTGTCCTCGCTTAATCTTCTTGGCACCCACGGCTCCCTGCCTGACAAACTACGACGAGGTTTCCCGATGGGTGACTTCCCGGTCCTCAACGAGACCAAAATTTTCCCCAACCACCCGTCGACTGCCAACCACAACGCTTTCGTTAACGACTATTTGCACGAGGAGGTCGAAGCGGGCCGTATGAGTGGCCCCTTTTCCCGAGAGAAGACGGAGTCTATTCTTAAGGGCCATTTCCAATGTTCTCCACTCATCATCGCGGTTCAACCCCAAGGCCCAGGCGAACCGGACAAACTCCGGCTCTGCCGCCACCTCTCGAAAGGCGACCATTCTCACCCGTCCACCAATTTTTTTCGTTGACAAAGACAAATTCCCCACCAAGTTCGGCACCGCCTCTGACGTAGCCGAAATTGTGAGTCCACACCCCCTGCTCTGCATCCTCTCCCTTCTCTGCTCTGTCCTCCATGCTCTGCACCATTACGTCCCATACTCTGTATTCTCGTACACGTATCTCTGATATATGACTCGATTCTGCCGCCCTGCTGCCCTGTTTGCCTCCTGGCCCTCGTCTTCCCCTTGCCTTGCTGCTGATCTCTCAATCTTACCTCCCTTTACTCAAATTCCACCCCCAGATTGCCTCTGCCCCCCCGGGAACTCAGGCCATGGTCCTCGATATTGCAAAATTCCACAGAACTTGTCCCATCCTGCCCGCCCACAAGCGCTGGTTCGTTCTCCAAGGCCCTTTGGGCTTCTATATCGACCACTGCTGCCCATTCGGTTGCGCCTCTTCCAGCAGCAACGCAGGCCTTATTGGCTCCGCCATCATCGACATCTGGGAAGCCCTTGGATTTGCCCCCGCCAACCGTTATGAAGATGATATCATGTCGGTCCGCCAGCCTACACCAGCAGCGCATTCCCCCGCAGGGCCCCCCTTCGCACTTCTGGTACTCCGCCTCCCGCCCCGAAGCCCTCCTTGCCATCCAACCGCTGCGCATCCCTTGGCATCCTACCAAGTGGACTGAATACCTCTTCGAATTGGTTTACATTGGCTTCCTCTGGAACTTCCCAAACAAAACGGTGGCTCTGCCCGAGGACAAGCGCCTAAAATTTCTCAAGCGCATACATGATTTCCGATCCATCTGCAAATCTGGCAGATGCCAACTCCTCCACGCTCAGAAGATCCATGGCTCCCTCTGCCACATCTCCTTTGTCCACCCCCAAGGTCGCTCCTATTTGCCTGCCCTCACCTCCTTCATTATTGCGTTTGAGGGCAACACTTTCAAAACCCGGCGGCCCCCGCCGTCAGTTTACTCCTCCCTGGCTTGGTGGGAGTCCACCCTCTCCGTCCCAAGCGTTTCTCGCTCCATCGCCCCCAAAGGCCCTCGCCAAGACCGCCTCCTCTTCGTGGACGCCTCTACAGCTTGGGGGATTGGTCTCTGGTTAGACGGCTGCTGGGGAGCCTGGAAGGGGACGGGCAACTGGAAGTCGCGCCAGCGTCACATCGGCTGGCTCGAGACTGTGGCCATCGAGCTGCTTGTCCTCACGCTGGAGAGCCTAGACTTTGAAAATGCCTATCTCCTTGTCCACTCTGACAACCAGGGCGTCATCGGCGCCTTCGACAAGGGCCGCAGCCGCAACCCCGACATTAACCTTTCTTTACGCCGTATTTTCGTGGCCCTGGCCGCCCGTAACATAGCCCTAGACTTAGTTTACATCCCCTCAGCCAACAACCCTGCTGACCCTCTTTCGAGGGGCATCCTTCCCAAAGCTGCCTCCCGTATCTCACCTTTGCCTTGCCTCCCGTCGGACCTAGCTACCTTTTTCGTACCCTCGTAATCATTAGCATGTGACCGCGTATTCTGTCTTCGCTTACCACCATGTCCAGAGATTTATCGCACCACCTGCCTCCTCCCGTCCCCATGCCCCGGCAGCACGCGCCGCAGTCTCGGACTCTCCGGGCTCCAGTTCCCCCGCCGCTCGCCACTAGCAGCCTAGCCCCGCCCACCCCCATGCCCCTGTCCCGGTCTCCACTTGAACCGCTCTCCCGTTTCTATCCCACACAGTCCCGCCCCGCCCCACGCCCAAAGCCATACACCATACCCAGACCCGCGCACTCTGCCTCCTTTCCCCCACCGCCTTCCCTGCCGGCCAAGCCCTCGCAAACCCAAACATGGGAATAATATCGCGCCCAGCGACTTTCGGCCTCCAGCCCTTGCCAAAGATCGGCTCCGCACATGGTCTTCCCCCTTCTCCCGTGCCAAGGAGGCCGAGCTCAGAGCCTCACTCCCAGCAGACGAAGTCAACCGCATATACGCTGCCATTTTTCGCTGCGTTTGCGCCGGACACGCAATCTACCTACGCCGCGGGACTCCTCCGCTTTCATCAATACTGCGACAGCATCTCCATTGACGAGGAAGCCCGTATGCCCGCCTCGGCCGCCCTCATCTCAGCCTTTGTATCCAAGCACGTCGGCCTAGTTGGGGGAGACACCGTCAAGTCCTGGCTCTCCGGACTTCGGGCCTGGCACGACGTTCATCAAGCAGCCTGGCCGGGCGGCGAACCCTGGGTGAAACTCATCCGACGCACAGCAAACAAGCAGGGCACCGCTTTCAAAAAGGCCCAGCGGGGCCCAGTCACCGTCCAGCACCTCGTCGCTCTCCGCTCCAAACTTAAGCTCAATATCCCCTTCGACGCAGCTGTCTGGGCTCTGGCCTGCGCAGCTTTCTGGGGCTGTCGTAGGCTAGGCGAGCTTACTATCCCCTCTGTCAACGCTTTTGACCCCCTCTTGCATGTTGCCCGCGGCGCCGATACCAAGCGAATCAAGCACGGTGGTGCTCGCGCTTCTTCCTTCCACATCCCTTGGACCAAATCCACCCGCGAAAGAGGCGGCACGGTCATCCTCACTGATCGAGACGACCCACTTTGCCCAGTCGAAGCCCTCCAGAATCATCTTTTTGTCAACAGCAACATCCCGGAAGAAGCCCCACTTTTTGCCTTCCGCCACGCAGACGGCCGTTGGCTTCCTATGACCAAGCCATGGTTCTTGGCTCGCTGCACCGAGATTTGGAAGGAGTGTGAATTGCTGGCGGTTGCAGGCCACAGTTTCCGTATCGGCGGCTCTACCGAGCTCCTCTTGGCCGGCGTCCCCTGCGACATTGTGGCAGCAACCGGAGGCTGGACTTCCCTGGCCTTCCTGCTTTACTGGCGAAAACTCGAACACATTATCGCAATGGCCGTCGGCAAGGCTTACGACAAGAAAAAGATTGAAGAAGTTGCTCTGGCTTTCGAACAATTCCGCATTGACCACAATATCACCTTAACCCCCGAAGAAAACTGCTAGTTTAGGTCCTGTACCCGTTCCCACCGTGCAATCCATTCCCTTCCCTTTCTCCCTTCCCTTTCTCCCCCTCTTCTCCTCTTCTCCTCCTTTCTTCTCTTCTCTCCCTTGCCCAGCCCATTCGTTGGGTAGCCGGGCAGAGCCTGCGGCGCTGCCCACCCTTGTGAGCTGCGCTTCGGGTTGCTAGATTTGGGCAGCCCGCAGGCCCCCGGTCTTTCACGCGCTCAGAGTCGGCAGCCCAGGCGTCCCAGGCGCTCGCTCGAGCCGAGTCGTGTTTCCCTCGGGACGGCCCAAGCTCTCTGCTCACCTCGTCGCCCGCGCCGGCCTCGCCGGCCCGCTGCCCGGGTGCGCCGACTCTTTCCCCCACTAGCGGTCACTAGTGTGCCCGCTAGCCGCGAGGCAAACTCTTTTAGAGTTTGCCGGTCCTTTCCTTCTCCCATGGACTCGTGACCCAGCCATCTAACTTATTCTGAGATATCCTTGACGCGAGGAACGAGCGGCTCAAGGGTATCTGCGGATAAGTTAGATAGAGATGTGTCGAGTAGGCTATCATGTGACTCACTTTCGACTTCCTCTCGGCCCTCGACACGTCTCGCCAGCCCTTTTTCTCCCCGCCCTCCGCTTCCCTGTCTCAGTGTGTGCTAGATTTGGGCAGCCCGCAGGCCCCCGGTCTTTCACGCGCTCAGAGTCGGCAGCCCAGGCGTCCCAGGCGCTCGCTCGAGCCGAGTCGTGTTTCCCTCGGGACGGCCCAAGCTCTCTGCTCACCTCGTCGCCCGCGCCGGCCTCGCCGGCCCGCTGCCCGGGTGCGCCGACTCTTTCCCCCACTAGCGGTCACTAGTGTGCCCGCTAGCCGCGAGGCAAACTCTTTTAGAGTTTGCCGGTCCTTTCCTTCTCCCATGGACTCGTGACCCAGCCATCTAACTTATCCCTGGCGTCCCCCGTTCTTCGTCGCTGACAAACGTCAGCGTGCCATCCAAAACAGCCTGAGGCCCGCTGCGCCATGCCGCCCGCGTCTTACAATGCGGTGGGCATGTTATAAGAGGCGTGGCCAACGGTGACCGTGCCCTTTTCGTCCCTGGTGTCCCGCACCGACTGTGCCAGCCTCCGCCATGTGCTTCTTTTGGGGAGGTCGATCGCTCCGATCGTCGTCGAGTTGACTGGAGCGTGTTTTGCAGGGCTCTCAGGCACCACTGCGCTCTGCTGGCGCCAGCTGGACTATACCTACTAATCACCTGCGGGTCAGCGAGGAACGCAGGGAGAGGACGGCAACCCGCGTGCGGACCCCGAAATGCTCTGCTCACTCGCGACTCTGCCTCTGCAGCACACCTGCCCACTTCTGCGCTCTCACGATCCTTGGGAAGCTGTCGCCTTTGCTCGCCTTTCTACCGTGCTTTTGCGTGCATTCTAAGACTAAACGGCGCGAAAATACCTGGGTCAGCTGTGGAGAAGAGACGTAGCGTCTCTAAGGGTGCGTCGGGGTCGTTTTGTTTCCTGTTCTCATTGCCCAATCAAGGCGTGTCTTCAGCTGCCCCATTCCGCGCATGTCCGCCGGCGATTGAGCAGCCGCGACCAAACGAGGAAGGGTGGCAGCGTATCAGGCGCAAACGGGGTCAGTGCGGACACGAATCGCTTTCAACTTTCAAGCCAGTGAGACTCTGCGGGTTGCCATCTTCTCCAAGCTGAAGACAAGGCCTTAGCTAGGAAATGGGGGACAAACCGATCATGCACCTTTATAAGCCAGCGGCGTCTCTTCTCCACAGGTGCCCTGCTTGGTTTGAGTCCATTTCCGCGGTTTACTTCTATAATACCAGCAAAAGCGCGTCGGGTCGCGGGAGAAAGACAAGCAAAGTCAATGTCTTTCCCAGGACTGCGACGAGGAAGAATTTGGCGAGCGTGCCGATACTATTGTGAGTGAGCGGAGTTCCCACACACGGAAGTACAAGGACGCGCCAGTCTCTCCCCCTTCGCATGCGCCATGCATCGCCGCTGGTCCCGACTGCTGTCCCGGGACAGCCACCCGGCCCGGTCCCAGTGCTCGTCCTCGCGTAACCAGAGCTTGGATGCATATATGGAACCGCCCCGCACCGTGACGACCGTCGACCCTCAGCGTGAGTAGTGGGACGAAAGAAACGTCTCCATGTCGCAACCCCGCGCACGCCGTCCCCGTCCAGCAGGGCCCGCGCTATCAATGACAAGGCATCACCGCCGACACCACAGGACCGCACCACAGGACGAGCGTCACACCCGGATAGTTCCTCCACAACTGCTTCTCATTGCAGGCTACCTCGCCAACGCGGACGGGTGTTGGGGGAACCAGCGAGCTTGTGCCTTGGAATCGAATGTCATGGTACAGGACGACTTAATAGCTGCTGGGTCTGTAAAAATAACTGTGCTGTGAAGTAGCAAGGAAAACAAGCATGGTGTATTACTGTCTGAGTGACCTCGCAGGAAGACAGGGGATCCATGGGAAGATGAGTGGGACCGACCTCGATCTGATCAAATCTTTAATTTGCAAATCACGTTTCATCGATGTGACACTCTTCCTTCCGAACACCCATGATCTCTGCCTCGTGCGTCGCGTGCGGCTTCACGCCCTCGGCTATAATGCCATCCCTGACCGACGAAGCTGATCTTCGTGCTCTTCTTCGCGCACAAGGGCTGCTGGAACCCGCCATTGCGGCACGCCTCCTGACAACTGTCGATTCGGGGAACCTGGAGCTTGTCCGATACGACGAGGCGATAGCCAAGTTGCGAAAGGTGGTGGGGGAGCTAGTCTTGCAGCGCACAAAGCTTCAGCGCTACGTGGAGGGCTGTTCCTCCCTCCTCAACGCTCCGATTCGCCGCGTTCCGACAGAGATTCTGCTGGAAATTTTCAAGGCCGTGGCAGCTATGCATGAGGAGGAGGAGGAGATGGGGGGAGAATGACAGAGAGGGGAGGGAGGTGGAGAGGTTAGCAAGAAGCCACTTATTGGTGCTATCAAAGGTATGTGGTCACCCGTCTGTTGACTTGGTTCATTGATGATGATTTTCCCGTCTGCAGGTGTGTAGCCGCTGGCACCACACTGTGATGGAGAGCCCAGCTCTGTGGTCGCGGATTATAGTTGACACAGACAACTGGCCACTGACGGACAAAGCCGTCATTTCTCGCAATCTGGGGCTGCTATCCACTTCCTTAACCCGAAGCGGCTCACATCCGCTGGATGTCGACATCATTATCGGATCGCCGCTCCAGGAAGACTGGCATTCAGCTTCAACAAAGACGGTTGCACTTCTCAGTGAGCATGGACACCGCTGGAGAACTCTGTTCCTCTGGTGTGCCACTCCTTCCTACATCAAAATCATGGAACTGGCTCGGGGAAAGCTCAACTCACTCGTCAAACTGGAGCTCGTTGTATCTAGGATTTCGCTGTGGCACTCCGAGTCTGCAGCGCCAACGGATATCTTCCTTGACTGTCCGTCTCTCCGGAAGGTCATCTTCTGCGGTGATTCGAAGTACATCCCAGCGCTACCTGCCGCGCAGCTGTCCTCATTTTTTGTATTTCTCTGAGAGAGCACCAATGGTCGACCTCCATGCACTCCCCCTCGCACAAGTAGGGCGCCAATGCAAAGGCCTACTCTGGTCGCGGAGGATAACGAGGAGGCCGCAATGCAGCTCTCGGGCCTGTATACATTCTTCTCGCGCTTGTCTTGCTTCATGAAACTCAAATATCTGCTTCTGGACGATGTCACCCTGCCGACTGATGCATTGTTGAACATTTATCATCTGCTGCCGTCTCTTGAGGTCCTGCATATTGTCTGTCGCTTCTCCCGACAGCCTGTGGCTTTTGAAAACACCAGAGCTTTGGCGAAGCTGCGGAAATTGGTGCTGAAGATAGAATCCCAGCACACCGTGACCACCACCATCACCCTCACTGTGTATCGAGCATTCTTCGGCTCTGCAATGCTGAAAGAGCTCGACCTGTCCTGCAATGCACGTGCATGGAGCGAGGACCCACACGACATCCCTACATTTCCCACCGTGACGCACGTCAGATTCTACCCCAACCTTACCGTCCAGCCAGTGTTTGCCTCCCTGCTTCCCAAGTTTCCTGTGCTCGAAGATTTGACTATCGTGGGCATATCTAGCACGCATCCAGCCATCTCAGACATTGTTTCAGGGTGCCGGTCATTGGTCAGCACCGTTGCGCATCTGTCAACGGGGTCTTCTGCTGTGGTGGAGCTTTTCATCTATGGTAATAAATCCGCCCTCAGGACGCTTAACTTTCCGCCGGGAGATGATGTCTCAACACTGTGCAAGCTAATACAAACGTCCCACCCGCTGTTGGTGTGTCTTTCGCTGGACGTGCCAACCGCGAAGTCATCTCTCCTCGCGCCTATGTGGGCCTGCCTGCCTGCGCTGAGCCATAGGTGTTATATTTTTACAAATGCAACTAGCTACAGCTAGCATAACGGTTGTCAAATACACTGAGCAGGGCTTTTTGTCACATATGTCACATTCCTTCAAAGGCTTATTTTATTTATTTAAGACTACTATTATGGGAATTGATGATGGAATTGATGGCATCTAGATAATGTCATCAATGTGGAAAGATTTTTGATTGCCATCAAAAGTTTTGATGATTGTAACCAGCTACATCATTTCTGTCCAAATTGGGATTATTAATTATTTTCTATATATATAGTCTTCCAAATTATATAACGGGTCTTCGGCCTGAAGAAAAGGAACTTAACATTCATTTATTAAGTATAATCATTATTAATACTGATGTTATATCAAAGTTTGATCAGTCTTATAGGGGAACAGAAGACAAATGCACTAACTGCACTCAGGCCTCAGTGGAGCTAGTGGATTTGACACCAGGTTGACTCAGTGCACTCAGTGCAGTTGTCAAATGTGCACAACTACAGGTGCTGCGCTGCGCTCATTGAAGATCATTTTCCACCGGGTGTTTAGGGGAGAGGACCTGCCTGACGCCTCGGAGGAGAGTAAACTCGTGCGTGGCCTCTTGTCGCATACTGCTGATCGCTGATATCATCCCCCAGGCGCCGTCTTACTTACTGAGTCTTTGCGCCCCGCACTCGCTTGCGCCGACCTTACAGACCCTCGTGCTCAAATGGCACTTCTTGTTCTGCAGCCCCGCATGGCCCCAACAGCTGGCCCATACCGACTTTGACCTTCCCGCCATTGCGGCCTCCCTTGCCGCAGCGACTCCGACGCTCACAGCAATTGGTGTGGATGCAGCCTCGTTTGCGCTCCGATGGCAGTGTCGCGTGGCAGCGAGGGGCTTGCTCCGCAGAGAACCCTGGGTGGACGAGGCGGCGTTCGCTGTGGAGAACATAGTGTTGAGGATGGAGGTGGAGAAGAGGGCGCAGAGGAGCAGAGGGGATAGAAGGAGAGTATGAATTGTTTGTAGCTACTGTACTATTTCAATCAATTAGTCCTGTCACGGTCACATTGACTTTTTTGGCCGAAAATTTTCTGCCTGTCACAGGTCACAGCAAGTTTCTTTGGCCCTAAACCGTCCCAAAATGGTAATTTTTAAAAGTTTCCGCGCCTACGGCGCGCAGAACTTCCATATAAGGCAGGAGGTCACACCAAATTCACCCCTTGGCTGAATTGCACATTTCTGCCACATGTGTCACAGGTCACAGGCCCGCAGAATTGAATGAAATAGTACAGTAATACATGTCTTTTATATAGTACTGCTATTTGTTCTAGAGTATTCTACAGAGAGGAAGAAGATAAGTAAGTGGAAACAGAGAGAAACTCGGGGAACGTCCGTACCCAACCTGGGGTTCCGATGCATCATTGGCTGTCACCACAGACATGGAATGATGAATGAAGGCCTCTAGCTCTGACCTGGCTTTTATGCATCAGTGTGTCTCTGCCTTCGTCGGTGAGTCCAATCACATCAGCATGTCATCATAGCGTGACGTACTGGTTACCGTTTCACTGACGACGTCCATCACAGCAATCAATGCTTCTTGTCATCGTCCTCGACAGCGAGCAGAGGCATTCCCAAATAATTCCCGAAAATTCTGAAAGTATTATGGTGCGTCGGGCCAATCGTGCTGATGAACGAATGCCACTTATTTTTTCAAAACATGCACTCAAAACCGTGTCTTCTGGCATTTTTTCGACTTGTAGCATAGCTAACGCAACCCACAGGCAACCATCCAGCAGGCGAATTGATGCTGAATTGGACATACAAGACGTCCTCAATTATATGGGTGGGACCTCTGACTTTCACAGCAATCGGGCAGCTGGATTCCAGCCAGTATATCCAGCAATCTCCCGGGTTCTGCTCCAAAATGGCGCCTGGTTGCCCTCGGTGCTCCCACCTGGAAGCCCCTGCATACTCGTCAGCGGGCTTCATGCTGCTCGGAGAGAAGCTGCAGCTCCGTTTCCCTTCCTGGGGCCTTCCATAACCCGCCGTTATATATATTCAACCCCCCGGCTCGGGCGCCCGCTGTTCATGATCAGCGTCCCTGGCCCAGCAGATTAACTGCCGGTCTATCCTCCTCCCCCGCATACCCCACAGCCAATTGCGTGCCACCCCAGCGTTTCTGCGCACCTTCGGGAGTATATACGAGAATAGTAGGACTGGGACTCGCACAGTAGGACTCAGTCCTACTTTGATGGGTCCCAGTCCTACTCCCGCGGCCCCGGAATGGGACTCGCTTCCCGCAAATCAACCACACGTTGATGGATCGACAACTGTCGCATCAATAGGGTTGGGCCGGGGTTTTCCACCCCGGACCCCGACCAGGGGCTTCGCCCTGGACCCACCCTGCCGGGGGCTTTTCGCTCGCCGCGGGGCCCGCTGCGCGGAGCGTGGGACCTCCTTCCGGCGACTTGTTTGCTGTTTCAATGTCATAAGCACCTTTTTTAACGGGGTGGCGGGACCCCGACCAGGGCTTTGCCCCGGACCCCACGCTGCCGCGGGCTGCCGTTCGCCACGGAGCATCATTCATTTGTGTTTGATTGATTTTGTGATCTTGAGTGTCGTTTTATCACTCGGCTATGCACTGTTGGCAGCGTCCACATGCCATCTATCATATCAAAGTAGGACTGGGCTCATCAAAGTAGGATTCAGTCCTACTTGGTGAGTCCCACTCCTACTATTCTCGTTACTGCTCCACCTTCGGGGACCATCCGGCGTGCTCCGGCGGGCTGCCGGCGTGCTCCCGGGCCCTCCGCCTTGCGTCTTGCCTCAATGTAGACCTGTACCGTCCTGTGGCTCGCCCCCCCGCTCGTCCCAGCCTCTCAATCTTGTCCACCACTCATATACCTGCTACACACTTGCCGCCGGGCCGGAACGCCGGTCGCCTGGCAAATCAGCGAGAGGGTCGCGCAGAGCCAGCCGCTGGCCCATTCCGCCTGGGAATTTCAAGGAGGGGAGCGGCACACGTCCCGTTGTATCCCTGGAAATCCCAGGCGAAACGGGCAAGGATTCAGCCTGGTGGCCCCGGGCCTCGCCGACACCTGCCCTGGCAGTTTCCGTTGCGCGCAGGGGCAACCCCTCCCTCGTTTCCCTTGGGAGTTGGTGGAACTTGAGCGTTATGTCAACGCTACCTGCGCTGAAGGTTCCGGCCAGAAGGATCCAGAAATGGGCCCGGCGCTCACCGATTTCGTGGAGAACGTCGTCGACGGCGACGACGGCCGCTGTGGCCCGCTGCCGAGCGCCAGGAGGCGCCGATTAAGTCGGGTTACGTCCCTAGAGGTCGTGCAGACGTGGTCGGAGCACAATTGGTGGTAGTTGGCAATAATACAATAAAGTTCTCCAATAGTAGTTGGAATTTAGTATAGGTACACACCAGTACTTCCGCAATATACAAGTTCTAACAAAACCGTAAGATTTTTCTTCAGAAACCTGTACATAGGCGGGGGCTGACTACGAGACACGGATAGTATAAATCCCCTCACAGATTTGGGTCAATGGAAGTCATTATTGGCCATTTGTCGTGCCCCGATATTCCGTCTCACGGTCAATAGATGTCATATGGATGCCGATCAACCCCAAGAGCGGGGAATAACCGATGGCGTTTACAAGCGGCCACCCAAAATGACATCTGCCGCGCCCCGTGTCCCGCGTCCTGCGCCCTGCCCGCCCGCCTGCCGCGCGCACTATAGGCATTGTGGCCCAGCCACCAAGAGCACAGGAGATCTGCGAGCACGCCGCTGAACAGCGGGATGAGTGTCGCATGGGTGGCACCGTCACACGCGTGGCGAATTGGTGGGTAGGCAAGCGGTAGGTGGTAGGCGGGCGGGGGTGGACGGTGCGCTGCGGGAAGCGGCATTCCTCAGCCCGGTCCGAAACGTCACACATATGTGGTCAGCAGGGCCGCGGGTATCGGCACGTGCGCGGCCCACGTCATGTACATGACACATGCCCAGCACAAGGGCGGGAAGCGGGAAGCGGGAAGCGGGAAGCGGGAAGCGGGAAGCGGGAAGCGGGAAGCGGGAAGCGGGAGCAGGTGGGCGGGAGGGCGGCGGTGGGTAGATGCAAGCGGACAGCGTGGGTGGCTTCCAAGACTGCCTTAGAG